AAATATGGAGAAAAAAAATGCAATGATAGGAGCATTAAATGCTTCGTTAAGAAAAGAAAAGGAAATGACCAAAAAAAGGCTAAAAGAGAGAGAGAAAAAAAAGAGCAAGTGAAGGGCAAATGTGAATTTTCATAAATCTATTGAGTGACAATAAAAATAAGTAAAAACAAAAAAAAAGGTCATTTATAATGCAAAGGAAAAAAAAAGAAGGGAAATGACGGAAAAAAAGATAGGGAAGAAAATTAAAAAGGGAATCGAGTAAAGGATAAATGTGAATTTTTACCAATCCACCGAGTAACACTAAAAGTACTTAAAAAAAAAAGAGAGGTTGTTCATAACGCAAAAGGCAAAAAAAAAAAAAAGCAAAAAAAAAAACTCAATCTATAGTATAATTGGATGAGAAGGAACGATTAGTGAAATCTCTATGTCTTTTAGTTTCTTTTGTAATATTGCTTAATAAAAAAAATAACAAAACTAAACAAAAAGGTTTGTTAGGCAACGTTACAAAAGAAACTAAAAGACAGAGATTTCACTGAACATCCATTCTCATCTAATTATACTATTGATTGAGTTTTTTATTATTATTATTATTAACGTCCTGGTATTAGTAGCGCTTTTTACTTGGAAGACATGTTGTCTAACATATTTTTTTCCTACGTAGGCTGATGCCTTGGTGATAACCAAACTTTCAGGATCAGACTTTTCTGAACGCTCCAACTTTTTAACCAAATAGTTTGATTTTTAACTTAATTTGGTATTATGGACGGTATCAAGTTTTATTTAACTTGATCTTTTATTAGATTTTTAATCGAGTAAACTCTATTTTACCTTGATCTCCCACTATGACGAGGCTCTTAGGACCAACCAATCAAATAGCTTGATTTTAACTTGATTTGGTATTATGGATGCTTAGTACCAAGTTTTAATTTACTTGATTTCATATCAGATTTTTAACCAAAATGCCAATTTTTTAACTTGATCTAGTGCTATGAATACCATCCATACAAAGTTTCTTACTTGATTTGATTTCATATCCAATTTTTTACCGATCAAGGCATTTGATTTCAAATCCGTTTTAATGGTCAACAATTTATGCCAAGTTTTTCTAGTTGGATGAGGAGTAAAGTTTTTAACTTGGTTTGCCTTGGTTGAGTAGAAAAAACAATAATTAAGCTGAATTTAGTAAGTTGAACCTAGATTAACACCTAAGTATTGGATGCTTACCTAAATCGATGTCCAGGTATTTGTTTGGTACTCGAGATGATGTTCAAGTATCAAGTGCACGAAACTAAATATTGACCAAGTGGTTTTTAATCTAGTCTCTTTCTTTTTGCTAACCTGACTTGTGTAAGCCTTTAACCAACATTTTTGTGGTATTTCCTTAAGAGTTATATGTGACGCTCGACATACGATACCATTTGGGATATCTTTAAGCGTATGAGTGTTTGAAATATTTGCACATGATCCATGAGATCTGTAGTTCCAAGAACTCCATTATAGACTATCTTGAACTTCGAGGGAAATTGTGCTTTGACAATCTGTTATGTGAAGGGTGTTTTAGTTCTGAAGTCATGTCTTTCAACTTGACAATGATCTTTTGTTGTCTATCACGACTTCCATTTGCTTATTGATATCTTCATTGAAGGTACCAATTTTGTGTCTTGCGTGTTCGTGTAGCATTCAGATTGCTCAGCTTGACTGACTTGGGTTCGAATATGATGACCACGTAGTGACTGGATTTGATGGGTAGATTGTGACTGGCCATGTTGGTTAGCATATCATGTCTGAACTTTACCTTCTTTTATTAGGAGTGGTTAATTGAGTTTTTGGTCAATTCTTTTTCTTCAACATATTGGTTAATTGTTCAACATGGTTTATCAAAACTTTGAATTATGTTTGGATAATTTAAATGTTATTGGTAATGTTTTGGAGGTTAAGTTGCTCTAAGATGCTGATGAGATGAGACATATAGGCAAAAGTAATTAGTTTAGACCTATCTGAGTTTTTTTGAGTTTTTTTAGAGTTGAGCTTATCAATATCGTTTCAATTATCTTTCGAAATAATTTAGTGGCTGAAAAAAAGAAAAGAAGTTTCATGTTGAATATATATGTATATATTTATATAAGAGTCAATTATTCAATCAAATGATATTGAGCATGGTTTCATCGTTTTTTGAAAAAGAATTGAGTTATTTTTTTGTAAAATTGTGCTTAAATTAATATGTAACAATTCCGTCAAAACCTCTTTCTTAGATGAGAGAATAATATGCAGGAATCGAACTTTTTTAGGGACATATCGAGAGAGAATTAGATTTAGTTAGGTAATATATGATTGATAAACATGAATTTATTTTTTTAGCTGAGCACGGAATATATTGTCAAATATTTAATATGATTTTACAATATCTAATTTCTTGTGTCTGTCTGTAGGAAATCAAATTGGATGATAGTTTGAAGGACTTTACTATGAATCAGCCGATATTAAACATGCCTTAACTAACGTGTAAAGTTCACAAGAACACTGGTGTATGGTTCCTATGCATCCTGAATTGGTCCTATATCACTTCTTGGATTAGAACGCTTAACAAGCAAAGATAATCAACTTGATTAGGGAAGCAAGGTTATTTAGCCCATGCTTCAAGGCAAGCTATTATCTCTTTGGGGCAAAGCGGATCCTTAGTGTCCCCAAAGTGACCTTAAATAAAGGAGGATGGTGCCAAAAAGAATGAACATACTTGGAACTTCAACCAAGAGTGTCCTATGCTTCTTTTCTTTTTTTCCTCTATAAATACAGGTTAATATTTTTAGAAGAAAATTATAAATTAGTCCCTTTACTTTTTGAGAAATAAATTAATTAGTTTCTCATTATTTTAAATATTAATTATTTAGTTTGTTGATTCGTATTGATCACACTTAATTTGATATTATTTTATTTTTAAAAACATTATATTTTCTTTACTTTAAAAGACGAGAATTTGAGCTTCAAAATGCTTAGCCTCTGCACCAAGTCATCTTTTAGGCTTGGCTTTGTACCAGAAGCAAAACTTATACACATATTTTTGTACTTAAAAAAAAAATTAAAATAAATTTAAAAAATAATAAAAGAGATTAAATAATAAGTTTTCGAAATAAAAAAAACTAATTATTAAAAAAAAAACTAAAGAGACTAATTTATAATTTAATCATATTTATAATTTTATTTTTCTCATGAGACAATCGCAAAAGTTAGAACTTCAAAAATATTTTTTATCTTTTTAACTTTTATTGTACACGCATCTAATATGAAATATCTACAATTGTCGTACGTACTTACATTTGATTCAATCGGATTGAATAAAACAATTCATTCACCTACTATATAAATATCTATTAAACCATACTAAACTCCATCTGAGTTTTTTTTTTTTTTTTTATAAAAAAATTAATATTAAAAATCATATGGGTGGAGACACTAAAAATGGACAAACTTGTTAGGCTTTTAAAAGCTGAATTGCATCAAATTTGAATTAAGCGTGTAGCCCCTCAAACTCTAAGAAAATGATTATGTTTAAACTTTGTGTTTTAAACATCATCATTTGACTCCCCTCAACTTAGTGGTCAAGTATGAACTTACCCTCAATAATGACCAACATGCATGTATGATCCACATTTTCACCATGGGTCTACAAATAATTTAAAGAAAGGATTTTCCTTATATTTGGACTCTATATTCTACAATTTTTTTTTTAATTTGATTGAGATATTTTATTTTTTGAAATTTTTTGTTTCAGAATTTTTATTATAGTGCTACTACTCGGTAATTGATATGTAGCATTGTAAAATAAAAAATCTCAAAAAAATACCAATCACTAATTGATAAAATTATAGATAAAAAAAGAGTCCGATATAAGAAATATGAAAAAAAATAAAAAGTTTTAATTAAGTCGAAAAGCAAATAGAGGGTCAATAAAAAAAGAAATTCAAAGATTTGAATATCCAAATGTGGGGAAAACTTTATAAAGAAAGTATAGGAGTACATAACCATTGCACCATCAAACAATTTCTTGATACAAATTAAATAACATCACTGACCATCAACGCATGGAAGCTGCAATGGACACAGACTTTATACTAAAAAATATTAACTCCCCCACCCCATATCTCTGTCTTCAATTTGGCTACATGATCTATACCACCTTCAATGCTCCTACCCCACCTTCCTCACAAAAAATATTTGACAAATCAATCCATTCAATTACAATCTTCATTGCTCTAAAAAATAATTGGTACTATTTCCGATTTCCTATTTAATATTATGTACCAAACAAAAAGCATTCCCTTGACCTCTCTCTCTCTGACATCATCTTCTTGGCACACTATGATGAAATGCGCCAATTATGCTAACATACGCCCTTTCTGCTGTTGCTTTGCGGTTTTCATTATCTAGGCCGTACTGCCGCCTGTGAATCGCCGCCTTTTGCCATTTACGTGAATGGTCCAATCCTCCACCAAAACTTCACTCTTTTGTTTTTTTTTTTTTTTGGTATATAATAAATTCAAATGTAGAAAATATAATAATATGAACAACAAATTCATTTACTATTCAAACTAAAAATTAAGCATGGCTATTTTCCCAGCGTGAATAATTAGCTATTGAACAAACTTAAAAAGAAAAGTAAATTTTTCTTTTTTTTTTTAAGAAAGAAAAAAGAAATTTAATTTAAATTACAAAATGACTCTACAATACATAAGCTCTGATCAAAACTTATTAATGGTAATTGCCAAATTTTTAGGTTGCTTCAAATTTACAAATACAATTATCTATATTTGAAAATTTCTCCAAAAATGTTTAATACCGCTATCCTTATTTTTTAATTTCTCAAAAAAAAAAAAAATTACAGATATTACTATCATCGTTTCCTGTGAGCATCATTTGACAAAAAAGAAAAGAAAATAAATACTAAAAATTAAAAGAAACAAAAATATTTCCATTTATCCGTACATATTTTCACAAACAATTTACTACTCGGGGATGGTAAATAATACAGGTCTCCAAGCTCTCCTTAACAGCCTATATCTAAACGACGCCGCCACCGGTCCCAACGCGCCACCGCCACTACCACTTCCTCTCCTCAACGCCACACCACCACCGCTAATCAACCCCACCTCCTCACCACCACCACGCTCACCACTCCTCCTCTCCTTCTCTTCAAAAGGCGGCGAAGACACAAACAAATCCTTCAATTTCCTCCGCACCTTCTTCTCGGGCAACGGATCTTCCTCCACCTCCGATTGATCTTCTCGCCGAGGAATCCTCCGCCGAAGATCGGAGTTCTTCGAAAGTAGCATCCGAAGAGTCTTCCTCCGGCGGCGGATGTGAAAAACTGGACTTGTTGTTGGACTTTGTGTTGGTGTTGCTGTTACTGCACATTGTGTGGCTAATAACTTGAATTTTTGCAGCGTCGCCATTATAAACAAAAAAACAAGAAAACCCCACGATTTCTTTCTCTTTATAACACAGAGATCTAATGAATTTAACCCATTTGGGTTTCTTTTCTAGTTTTCTTTGGATATATCTTGTTTGTTGTTCTTGTGGTGGTGACGGAGGAGAGGGCCTGCGTTGATTTTTTTGGTGTATGGATTTGAAGGGGTGGTATTTGTTATGTGGTGACAAGTGGAGGAGAGTGGGGGTTTAGGATTTTGGAAATGATGCTCGTGAATGAGTCCAAGGAGTAAAGCATTAGAAATGGAATTGGGTTTTTGTTTCGAGGATGATGGGATCAAGAGGGTTAAGGTAAAGAGGCTTGGTAGCGGAGAATTGTATGTATTTAGTATGATCTAATCTAATGTAGGTTAGGTCCAAAGTACATGAGATAAAATAATGTTGTTTGTTTTATGTGGACATAAAATGAATTGTTGGTTTTGTCCTCACTTGCCTCTAAACTTCTAGATTTGCTTAACTCCAAACTCCAAAATATTATAATAGATTTCATGAATATTTTTTAGAAAAGTTTTGGTTTTAGTTGGACTAAGAATTAGTGTTAATATGATAATTGCTAAAACAAGCTCCAAAAATAATAAATTTGGTTTAGGATGGGAGAGGTCAAGAAAGAAATATTTCACATATGAAATTAGCTTATTTTTAGAGCAAAAGCCAGTTTGAGGAAAAGCATATATTTGCCTTAAGATCCAAAATTCCATTTAAGATGAAAATAATAATAATAATAATAACCGACAGCAAAGTATGACTCCGTTTCTTTTTTTTTTTTTTTAAATTATTATTGCATATGGAATTATCTAATTATGACTTTTTTATTTTTGGGTTTGCTAGAATACTGGAGTCTGAAATCTGGATGAAGGTGAGAATGGGGATGAATATTGCCAACAGGCTTGCTTGAAGTAGAGGGCTATCATGAAAAGGGGGAATTTGCTGACAATTTTGTAAAAGAAGATCTCCGTAAGAGGTAATCGTTCCAATTTCCAAGTACTTTATCTTATAAATTTCTTCCAAATTTTTTTACCATCTATTTTACGAGGGCAAATTTCTTATTTTGCTGACAATTTTTTTTTTTTTAATTTTCTAATTCCTCTTTGTTTATGTTTCTCTCCTAAAAAATTGATTCATGAAATAATTACTATACATATATAGTAATTATTCCTTAAATATTAAAAGATTTTTCGATATAAATGTACATATATAGTTTGATAAAACATTAATCCAATAAATAAATAAAAGAGTGTCAAATGTTACATGGCAATGCAGGTCTGCAACATCAACCTCAAGCACTAATCTATTTTTAGTGTAATACACAGAATCCATCGTAGCAGTATATTTGGCCATGGTGAGGTAGAGACTGTAGACTTGGTTTCTCGTATTTACAAAAACAAAACAAAATGCCAAGTCTTCAAAATACACTTTACAAATCCCAAGTCCCAACAACTGCATCCCAGACCATTGATTGCAATCAATTTCCATTATTAAGACATCATAGTATAACAGCATCAATGGAGTCCCTCTCAGGATCCTTGGTGCTCTGTGGTACTATTTAGGGAGGAAAAGAGCAAATTTTGTTGGTGTCATGGCCAAGAATTTTGCCACCAGATTTGAGCAAAAGCTTCGTTTGACCGGCTAAACTGAACCAGAACAGTCTGCCGTCCTAGCTCGCAGGTGCTCGGTCAAACTGCTCTCACCATTTTCATCTGTAAAAAAAAAACTTAGATTGTTAGTAAAATCTATATGAAGAGTAGCAATGCTTTCTAACTTGTTGAACTAAAAATTTCCATTTAAACAGTTTACTACAAAACATTTGAACATTAGCAAACCATCAAAGCAGCAATTCATAAATTCAACCCATGTAAGAGCAATAATTGTGCTTGATGGCTTGATTCAGAACGTTTTTATATATATATATATATATATATATTAACACCAAATCAACACCAAGAAAAGCTCAAACTCAATGACATCTGATATTTGATTGTGCAAAACTAAAAAATTTCTAAGCAAGAAAGGATAAGGAAATCTCAACTGCTAGTAGGAATGGGGGGTTACAGTTGAAGAACTGTTAACCCAAAATTGATCTGTCAAGGAGTCTGGTGAAAGTTGAAGTGGGGGAGGAGCATGCTTCAATAGCCCAACATCATCGTCTTTAATATCCAATACATCTGCTCTCCCCGCTCCATAATTTTCTTGCTCAATTCTTTTTAATGCCTCAAGTACTTCTTCCATAGTTGGCCTCATTTCCCTCTCTTGTTGCAAACACCTGAAACCTAATTCTGCAACTGATGTCACCATCTTCCTCACCACGAAATCCTTATCGAATCCAAGAAATGGATCAACCAACTCATTTAAAGCATGATTTTGGATTTTGTTCACTGCCATGTTGGACAAATTAATATCATGCCGATGCCTATTTGTGTCTACTGCTTGTAAAGATGATATCAGCTCAATCAAGACCACACCAAAGCTGTAAACATCACTCTTGTTGGTGAGTTGGTAGCATTGATAATACTCTGGATCAACATATCCAGGCGTTCCTTGTGGAGCAGTCGATACATGAGTGACATCATTTGGGAACAATCTCGACAAACCAAAATCAGCCACTTTAACATGGAAGTCGTTGTCTAGGAGAATGTTATTGGTTTTGACATCACGGTGTATGACATCGGAGGCGTGGAGGTATGCCAATGCACTGGCTGTCTCTATAGCAATGTTCAACCGAACAGGCCATGTGAGCAAGCCAGAGTTCGACTGTCTTCCATGAAGATGATCAGCAACAGTTCCATTAGGAATGTATTCATAAACAAGTAGAAGCTCATGGCTGTGCCTTGAGGTGCATCCATAAAGTATCACCAGGTTCTTGTGCCGTAAATGAGCTAGGATCTCAATTTCATTCATAAACTGCTCAGCACGTCTCATGTTGTTCTCGTATAGGCGCTTGACAGCAACCACCCGCCCATCCCTGAGTACGCCTGATGAATCAAGTAATTACAATAAAAATTGAGAAAGGCAATAGCAAAGCAGTTGATGTTAATTTGTGCAAGTTGCTATACTGCAAATAAAATCATGTCATCTTCTAACCATGGTAAACAGTGCCAAACCCGCCATCGCCAAGTTCCTTGGAAGAATCGAAAGAGTTAGTGGCTTCCTCAAGTTCATTGTAGCTGAACAGTCGAACTCCAAAGTAGGTACTACCCTTATCAAGGGTAGACTTTGAGGAGGTAAGAGAAGCTGTGGTTCGAGAGAAACTAGTTGAAGTAGCAAGGCCTTTGCTTGAAGGAGGTGTAACTGAAGGCAGGCCTTTGCTTTTCACTAGGGCAGATTTTCTTTTCTTCCGTTGCATCATAACCAAGATCCAGCATCCCATAAAGATACCAATAACTGCTGCACTTGCTACGCTAAGTCCTGGAAATGAAAAGAATAAACTGCTCAGCTTTTCTTTTCAGTGTTGATTTACTACAGCATATGTAGCAGAATGGTACCTATTGTAAGTGGTTTTCGGTTATTCGACTTCTCTGCATAAGTCACAAGAGCAAGAAACATCAGTAGGGAGTATGTAAACATGATCAGCTAACCAGAAACTTCTAAAATATGATAGTGATTATCACAATTATTAGTTGTTAAATTCAAACTAATTCAGGAATTCAGTCAGATTATAAATAAACAGGCTATTGGCCTAGACAACCTGCCATGGCAAAGGAATCAGGTCATCTGTGGAGAAAGCGGCGAAAAGGCAGGGCAAAAAACAGAGAAAAACAGGGGAAATAAGTTTGAGTAATTGAGTTGTTCAACCTTTTCATATCACTAAAAACTACAACATGAATAAGCATTAATTGCTTCCAAAACATTTTGCAGAGGTTAAACATCTCATGAACAAGAAATGGATCATATCATTGAATTCAAACAATAGCTCCAAGAAGCGAACACAAGGCTAAAGCAAAGAAGCCTAATTTTGAACATTGAACCTCTTAACAAATAACCTTAAATGAATCCTATAATTAATGATTCACTAACAGTAAATAAAGCTAATGGACTTGTAAGTAAGACTTTGCTAGCAATTCAAGCATCAATTATTGAAATCACTGAAGCCTTGCATAAGACCTAGCATTACTTGAAAAGCCCCAAACTCATAAGGAAAATAAAAAGACTTTGACCAGCCAAAAAGCAATTTTTTCTTACCAGGACAGAGCTGATCATTACAAATGCAAATAGGTTTACTCAACTGTGCATCAAACCCACAATGTCTACTGGAATGCTTGTAACACTTATCACAATCACCACTGTAAGGATTACTATAACTCACATCAAACCCTTCTCTCAAAACCTCACCAAGTACTAATGACCCTTTAGCCAGAAGTCGATCTACTTGACTCGTAAGAATTGGTACTTGAGTAGTACTTTGACAATCAAACTTCTCCGAAAAATTACCAATCATGAAAACCCCTTCTTTTGAATCTCCTTCCGTGTCACAGGAGAAATTAAAGTTTGTCGGGTTCGGACCTGATGCCATGCCAGGATAAATTACGTTCTCGCACCCATAAAACAAAGAAAGAGTTTCATGGTCGGAACCAAAACTGAAGATTCTGTCATCTAGAGTGGTGTTAGTGAATTGGTAGGAGCATGGACTGTCATCATCGAAGTCTAAATGTGAGAGTCTTAACGTTTGTGTGACTTGGTTAAGCTGCGTGACTCGGTAAGCCAGGGATTTAGCTGTTAGGGTGGTGACTGAGTCATTAACACATGCGAGGCGGAGCTCTGGAAGGCCGCAGTGGGATGGACGTTGGCCACCAGTGAAAGGGTAGGTGATGTTTGTGAGGTTACCACAGGAGAAGGTTTGGTTGCAGTTTGGAAGATTACGAATTCCATTTGAAGGAAACGATGTCGTTAAGTGGAGGAACAATAAGAGGGTGAGAAGGAAGGAGGTGGCGGGAGCTGTGGTGAGGGGGTGCATTGGTGGAGGAATGAGAAGTGCGGTGGTGGTGGGTTTGAAATGGCGTAAGGTAATAGGGTGGTGTTGGCAATGGGAGAGTGGTTGGACACGATATGACTTTTGACTGGGTGTGGCTATGGGTTGGCTTTCCTTGACTTTTTGCTTGTTTTGTTAATTAATGTAGGTTCCTGTAAGATGATGATTGCTTTGTCAAGAAATCAATTTTCATGAAAAATTATTTGGTATAAAAATATTATAATAAATATTTATTAATTTTATTTTTATATGGAGAGTATGTAAGTTCAGTTAGATATTTATATCGAAATTAAAAAATTCTCAATTTGAATTTGTTATTTAAATGATTAGTTGGGTGCATTTTTTTTTGTCCATATAAAATATTTGAATTTGTTATTTATTTCTTCACATGTGTCATGGGTTTGATCTTTCATTAGACAAAAGTCATGAGGAAACAACTTTGTTGTTTCTGATCTTTTGTTTGATTAATATGAATGAGGCTTTATGCTTATTAAATTATTTTTTTTGGGTAATTAGAAAATGTATGTGGTGGATTACAGGTCATGATCAAATGACACTAATATGCTTGTTTAGTCAATTGGAAGGTGAAGTAGAAATTTCTTAAAGGTTGTTGTTGAGAATTGTGGTTTGTTTGGCCACTAGCTAGAGAAGACCTCTTTAGAATGGGTTTGGAGCCTCCGTGACCCCCACAATATTTTTAAAAAACATTTAGGCTAAATATCTTAATCTAGTTTGAGTTTTTAATTTATTCTAACATTTTTAATCATATTTATTATATTTTTAAATAATATTTAAGTTTTTAATTTTTTTTATCAATTTTTCTGACTGTAAGTAAAATTTTAACCAAAATACTATTTATTAAATGTAAAATAAATAAATAAAATTTTAAAAACTTAAAAAATAAAACATGCATATCATTTGACTTTATATATTGTTATTTTTTTTTTGTATGAACATTTCGATCAAAAAATTTATCCATAATAAAAAAATGTGATTGAAAAGATAAATTGAAAAGTTAAATATTATTTAAAGGTATAACAGAAATTAAAAACTCAAGCTATTAAATAGCGATAATTTCAATTATTTATCAAAAAATTTATGGAGGAGCTCATACTTTTAAACGTAGTTCATTTCTTACATCATATCAAGACAAATCCTTTAATAAATCTGTTACGGAAGTGGTCATGAACTGAGCTCATGTTTTAGCTCTATAGCCCAATGATGATATCAAAACTTTGTTTAATAAATTTCAATGAAAATTAAAGATGCACTAATTAAGGTTAATTTAATTACAAAATAAAAGGTGTGAAATCTCTAGTTTGAATCTTCTCGTTATTATCGAGCTATAATTAATTTGGAAAGGAAATTGATGATGTGAATTCTACGAAAACTAGTTTGAAAAGAAAGAATTCAAAGCAATTAGAAATAAAAAGTGAAAGACGTGTCCATTTTCTCTATTATTAATATTAATATCAACACAAAAAATGACGAGTCAAAATTGGACGTTGTCGTAGGAATTCCTGAATTCCTTTACCATTGCATTTGTTCTCGTTTTTTACCAAAGAAAACGTTGTCGTAGGAATTTAACAAGTAATTCAAAGTGCTTGTATTTTAATCAAGTGGGTCAACTTTTATTTCTTTTATTTCACTGTCTATACTTTTTTTTTATAGGGTCTATTTTTATTTTTCTATTAAGTGTTTATACCTTCTTCTTCTTCTTCTTTTTTTAATTAAGTATCTTTGTTAGAATCTATTAAAATTATTCATGACGTATCTGTTAAATAGACATATAACATATCTATTGTAGGACTTGCTATTCATAAAATTGAAAATTTTGAAAAATATGGAACTCATACAAATGAGAAAAATTTTGAATACAAAACTTGATTTTGGTTAAATTAATTGGTTATAAAGTATTCTGAACTATTGAGTAAAAAAAAAAGACTTTAACTTTTTTTTTCTAATTTAGATCCTTAATTTTTTTGGTTCATAATTAAATTCTTATATCTTGTTAATCAATTTTAAGTAACATGAAAGATATCTGAAACTATTAAAATAACAATAAATGTTATGAAAGTATTAGATACAAAATATATACCGTTGTTTTTGTAGCTTCAAATGCTTTTAGGTGCATCAAAACTTGAGATTGATTAACGACACAAAAAAACTTAATTACATATCAAAAAGAAAGTTAGAAACCCGAATTAAAAAAAAAAAAAAAAAGGTTAGACTTTTCTTCTATTGACCAATAAGTTCATGATATTTTATAACCAATGAATTTTTTTTTTTTTTGTATAAAACTTATAACCTTTGTGTTTTGTGAGAAAAAAACAAAAAAAAAGTCAGACTTTTCCAATGAAGAGAGGAACAGCATAGGGAACAGAACAGAAAATGAAATGAAGAGTATTTTGCAGTTCATAAAACAAGAACCTGGACTAGTTGGAATGAAGAATATTATGCAATTCTACATTTAACAGAAAAGGAATTTTATTCGTGATAAAAAATGAAAAAAGAAAGAGGAATTTTATTACAGTCTGGTGCGCCTTCTACCGCTAAAGACTATTATAATATCTGAAGTGTAATTTTCAGCAAATGCAGAGTTGGAATTACTTTAACAAGCAACTTGTAACATGAAGGATTGCTCCTTGTGATGAATGGCTACCTAAATTACTATGTTACCAAGTCTTTGTTTCCTTGTTAGACTGGAATTAATAGGTCAAGGAAGATGTTTTCTTCGGATCATGGAGCTTTGAATAATTCCTGATAGCTAGATAGTTTACCACCTTTAACTAAAGGAATGATTCGTACCTATTTTGAAGGTGATTCGATGCTAGAATATTACTACAGTCTCTTCGTGGATTCCTTAAATGATAAGTACAAGTTGGTTTTCTATTAGCAAAGAACCTAGTTCTTCATCACCTAGTTAGTAGGAGGAAATATCTTAAGTAAAAGCTATTTCTATTTACTCCTAGTACTGCATCAAGAAGAGGAAGAAAAACAGGAAAGAAGACATACGTGTGGGTTGATCATTAGGAGGAAATATCTTAAGTACAAGCTATTTCTATTTTCTTCGGATCATGGAGCTTTGAATAATTCCTGATAGCTAGCTGGGTTACCGCCATTAACCCAAGGAATGATTCGTACCTATTTTGAGGGTGATTTCGATGCAAGAATATTACTACAGCCTCCTTATGGATACCTTAAATGATAAGTACAAGTTGGTTCTCTATTAGCAAAGATCCTAGCTCTACATCCCCTAGTTTGGAGGAGGAAATATCTTGGGTTCAGAAAGGGCAGAATCTTAATTACAAGCTGTTTCTATTTACTCCTAGTATTGCATCAAGACGAAGAAATAAAAAAAGGGAAGAGGACGTACGTGAGGGATGATCATTAGTTGGTGGTGAACCTTGGCATGAAAATTCTTGAGGTTGATCTGCGCAATAACAAGCGAATGCTGAAGTATTCTGGTTGTACCCACACTGACCACCTGAATCTTTGCATGTAACGCATAAGTTATCTTTTGCATTCCACTCCAACCCAAAACCTTGATTAAGAGCTCCAACCAACTTTGGTACAGTTGCATTTGATAGAATTGACTGCAGAGCTGATTGACGTAGTGGAACTATAACTCTATTTTTGCACGATACCAGGTAACTGATTAACGGAGGAGCAGAGCTACCGAGAAAAGAAAAGTTGGTTGTTGCTGCAAAGTAGCCCGTTGTATTAGTGCTGTCTATGTTGCATGTAAACGGAGTTAAGATCCCGGGAATTGGTGGAACTTGAGCAGGGCAAGCATAGTAGATTGTCATGTTATGACCATCCTGCGTGTAATTCAAAAGGTTGGGATTAAAGGTTGTGTTGAAAAGTTGTGTCGGACAGATATTTTCTGCATAATCTGTTCGAGCAACCATGAGAGTCCGTGTCTGGTTATTGACGTCAAGGACTTTGTAAGTCACTTGCATAATTGTGATCTCCGGATCTTGTTTACTGCAATCGATCTCGAGCTCCGGATAACCACAGTAATCAGGCCTATTGGATCCCCAGAAAGGATAACCAATATTCTTAATAATTCCGCAATCAAATGAGTTGCTGCAGCTTACATATCGCTCGTCTTCTTGAGCAAACACAAGTTTTGAACCACAGATAAAGATTATGGCTATGCATATGATAAACCTAGACATGGCTGAGAGGAGATGGGGCTGCATTTTCACATGGAGAGGGATTGAGGAGAAAAATTGTTCAAATGTTGAGATAAATGGAAAAACAAAATAGATGGAAGTAATATTACTCCACCATTATAATAGAATTGGCGTTATTGGACCAAGTAGGTGTTAGAAATTTGTCAAAGAGAAGCTTCTATTAGGATGGTAAGAGTGGCATGAATGCAAATTTAGGTGACTAGGAAAATCAACAGGTCTTTTTTTTTAGTAAGATAAGATAATTTTTAATGTGTATTTTGAATTTTCATAAGTCAGATTATGTTTTCAAGTGGCTAGTTTATTTGACTCTCCAGGATTCCTATTCAGCCATTGCTTTGAAGTTTCAGGTCTTATATACCTTCTTAATTGATGTGCTACAGCCTTACGGCAATCTGGTGTATAGATATATACCAAGAAGATAACCAAGTCTGAGCATAAAAAATGATGCCGACTTTTCGGAGGAAGAAGCAGCTTGCTTTTGATTTTGTAAGAATATGCCGAAACCCATAGTTCAGTTTCCTGTCCGAACTTCTATAACTGATAGGAATTAATATTGATTTTACTACTTTCAATATAAAAAACTTCATCCAAGAAGCTCCAATGAGAAACTTAACAAGCGACTGTGACTCAATAAATACAAATAGCAAATCATCAAAAGAACTGACAAAATACTGAAAACAGGTATAGAAAAGAATTTTTGAGAGCTGACAAACAGGAAAGTCAGAAAAACCAAAGAATATAATAAGGCATGGAGATAAAAATAAAGATCTTGTGATGTTATGACATTCTAGGTTCAAGTTGCTAGAGCAAATGTTGTCAATGGTTCACAATGACCGTAATGTATGCCATCTAAGGCCAAATCAGATGAAAACAGGAGGTGAGAATTTGGTTTGGATTTTAAGTTGTTAGACTATAATATTGTTCAAGGAAAAAGACCATCAAATAATTAATAACCACAAATGACATTATCAGAAAGACCATTATATCTACAATATGTACTCATTTTCTAGATCAGCTTGTAAATTTCTTTGTGTTACCCTACCATACTTTTCCCATAATTTTAAGTTGATTGATCCAAACTGAATATTCTTAAAATTACTGCTTTTGGGGGTTGCAAGTTGTTTGTAGGATGAGATCTTTCCTGAAGCACCTTTCTTTCTCCTATTATTTATGCAAGCAGTGGTAAAAATATGCCTGCCAGTCTCCGATCATTCACTAAGCACTGCTTACTATGGTGTCAAAATTGACAGATCCTTTTGCATTGTATATTTGACCGGTACTTTGTCAGTCCAGCCGTCTAGGAATTTGAACAGGTCCATAAAGCAATAATCAGACGCATATTAAAAATTGTGGAAGCAGCGAATCACTTGTGCCTTCTCATTGATTAGGATTAAGAACAAGACACATTTTTCTTTTTTATCTCATTAAAGAGAAGCTTTCAGGTTGATTTCAAGTTTCAGAAACTAACATGGATTAAAATGCTCACAAACCTTTAAGATATCTACATAATTTACTACAGCACGTGATAGATCTAGTTGGAGTACTTAATTCTGCAACACTAGCCAGTACATCTAAGGAAAATGTTCTTATAAGAAAGTCCTATTTGTTCTGCTGCATCTAAACAGCTCAGCTATTGGGGAAATGAAATCTGATGAACATAATTTTTGCACTAGCAAACAGAGGAAAGATGCACTTCCCTGGATTTGCTTTCAAAACAATCCTGAATACAGACAATTTCAGTTTTGTGATGTGAACATTTGGCGAGGGGGTCGCTGATATGATGAGTTTATCTTGGATTTTCTTGCCTCTGATAAAGTTTTCCGTTTCAAGAATTAGTAAAATGCTTAGCTTTGATCAAGTATGAAACAATCCTAGGCTTCTGTGGGAAATGGTGTGGAACTTGCTGTGACTAGTTGGTATGATAACGACACCACTGGCATCCATTTAACTAAGGTTTCGAAGTGTGATGTGACCATTACCTAACAGGAAATCTATCCCTTACTACCATGATCTAGTTTCGCAGTTTGAGACTCGCTAGTGAGCTAGAAGTGGTTATAAAAAAATGATAAAGATATTTGATTTTGTACCCAATACTCTTTAAGTATATTTAAAATAAAATAAAATTAAGAAAACAGGAAAGGAGCTATGATGGGTGAAGCATCAAGAATTGACTGGAGTTCATACCTGGAATAGCTGGAGAAGCAGTGGGTGAAAAAACAGGAAGACATGTTTTTGATCCAGTAGATTTATTTGGACAGTAACAAATTGTTTGATTTGTAACAGGTTCAATACCACAAACTCCTGAAGAATTGGTGCACTCCTCACATGCTGCCTTATCGACCTTCCATCTTACCTCGAATCCTGTTTTCAAGTCTTGTTCCAAAGCTGGCCTATTCACGAATGACGATGTGAAATCTGATACAGAAACTGGCACAAAGACACTACCATAACATTGCCGCCCAGGACCAGTAGCTCCTACTTCGAGATAACCAGTTTGATCATTAACCTGATTTATTTTGCAAGTGAATACTCCAGGAATAGGTATATTCCCAGGAGCAGCCATGCAACCATAAATAAATGTAAGATTTGTGTAACCATTAACAGTCTCAAAAACCATCGGATTGAACGTGCTGTTTGCAAATTGAGGTGGACAAAATCCAACCAAGTAATCCTCTCTTGCAATCCTGAGAATTTGCCTATCCGGATTGATGTCCAAAACACGGTATCTAACCTCATCGATAATCACCTTGGTGATATCATTCTCACACTTGAGCTCCAATTCAGGAATGCCACAGGCAGGTGGCCTGCCAGTTCCCCAGAAAGGAAAATCCGCAGAAATATTCCCACACACAAACTTATTCCTACAGTCAGTTAACAGGCCATTGTTGCTTACAGATGAAGGAATCTGAATAAAGAGCAACCATACAATAACAAAAACTGAAAGGTAAGGAGAGAGAGAAAAAACCGAGGAATTCATGCCGGCAAAGAGGAAGTAAATTGAGCTTGGCTGTTACAGGGAAAGTTGAGGGGGATGAAGAAATGAGTTACTACGCGATAAATATAAATTTTAGGAAAATAAATACATCAGAAAGTGATAGATATGGATGCATTACTTAGAAAATTGAATGCTTTGTTGACGTAAAACGTTTTTTTATGGAAAAGGGGTGACCACATTAGTCTTCACTTTGCTTTTATTTGCAAAATGAAGTCTACCTACCATAAATCACCCTCTTGGAATATACAGAAAAGAATTAGTCAAGTAGACAATAAGGACAAGTCCAATGCCGTATCCCCCACTAGGGTTTTGAATTTTTTTATTTTTTTTACACTACCATATAACGTATATTTCATTTCATATGTAAGGTATGTACATTATATAACATTTTTTTTAAAAAAAAATCTATTATTTTCTCACACTCGTTGCTAAATAATACACAATATAATTTAGCTATTGTGTTAATTTTTGCTATAATTTCTTTGTTCCTTAACAAACCTTGTTGTCTTGAATAAGAAATTCGCGTCCAAATAGGGATGACAATGGAAAATTAAATCCCTTATCCTATTTATTAAAAAAATGCTATCTACATATTTATTTAGAAATTATCTTTGAAATCCATACCTAGTCTATATTTGATTTACCTCAACATTTAATATCTATTTAACACAGGATAAAAATAGTTTGTCAAAATATTTTACTTTAGTTCCTATAATTTTCAAAAAGTTATTTTGGTCCTTAACTTAATTTTTAATTATTTATTCTTTTTTTATAAGTTTTTGGTCCTCAATTTTTTTTCATAAAAACATTTTGATCCTTATTTTTATAAATTTTGTGCAATTAGATCTCTTCATGTTAATATTTTTTTTCAAAATAATAATAATAATAATAATAATGAGAATTAATTGAGTGTAAAATCATTATTTATATCTAAATCCATATTAACGAATATATAATTTTTTAAAATTTTTATTCGTCTCAATGTTTATTAGATATTTTTAATGAATATTATTGAGACGGATAGAATAGATATCCACTTCATATTCGATTTTACATAACAATCTCATTGCAAGACAAAGTTTGGCCTTCTAGACAGGCAATGACACATATATTCTAGCAAGGTTGGGAAAGTCCTTTGGCATGATGGCAATAACATGAAACTGAATTTTGCTTATATCTTAAATAAGAGAGATTAACCAAGAGAGAGGGCTGCTCAATTGTCTAAATTATGACACAATGAATGTTCCCATACAAAATAATAATAAAGAATCGTTGGGTGTACATGAAAATAGTAAATATTTTACGTTAAAAGCAAAAAATAGAAAGAAAAAAAAAAGACATGTCGATATATAAAATAGATTTATAAATTACTAGTTTACTTTTTTGTGCTATAGATGATTTTTATCTTTGTATGTAATTAAGCTCTCGTACTTGTAGATAGGATACAAACATCCTTATGCGTAACCCCTATAGGTTTGTTTTGTTAATACTGCATGACAAAAGCAGCTTATTCTACCAAACCAGCTTGGACATATCATAACATAAAGAAGTAGAATTCAGGTCCCTATCATCATTAATTATATCGATTGCACTCCAATTGCCAAACTTAATTTGTGATTAACAACTACATATAGATACATTGTACATTAGTTCGAGAAAACTGTCTGCTGGAACTTGCAAGCGTAAGGAAAATCCAAGTGCGCAAAAAAGTGGACAGGGATGGTGCGTGTACGTACAACGAAAAAATGTGGAGAAAGTAATTTAAGGTTGTGACCAATTTCATGACATTTTGCGGTTTTAGTTAATCAGTATGATGAAGCTTCTTATTTGACTTGAATTTTGCAAAGATGATTTAAGATAGGAAACTTGTTCGAGGGCTATGCATGCTAATGGGAAATGGCATCATTTTCTGCTTCAACCCCTGGAACACGTACCATCATTTTCCATGGTGCACAAAAATTTCTTAAAGAATGGTCCGTTACAAAATTCAAGTCATTAATTTTGAAATGTGTGGCAATATCTTCCTTGGTGGGAGTCCGAGTTCAAAATTTGACCTCTATCAAAAGTACAATTAAAGTTGAAAAAAGGACTAATCATTCAATTAAACTGTTTAAAGGGAGTCAAATAATCATAATGTTAAATTGTGAAAAATAATATTAAAATAATTCATAATTTAATTCGTTACGTAGATTCAGTACGAATGAATATGTTGAAAAACCTAATAAGAACCCTAGTTTAACTATAAAATAAGCATATAATCAATTCACGTAAATCTTATATCATGTGATCCTTATTGTCTTTTTATTTTATTTTTCGGCTTGCTTCTTTTCTTAACCCATAAGAGTTTAAAAGGCCAGAGCAAGAGTAAAGAAAACCAGAGGAAAGCCCATGGCTTGAGTAACATGTGCTTTCGAACAGGAAACCTCAGTTAACTAATGTGGGTTTTGGGCTCTAATACAATTATATTGACCATAAACTTTTTTCTTGTCCACTGCTTGTTGGGCTCTAATACAACTTTTTTTTTTTTTTTTTCCTCAATGGATGAAAGACCTTGCGCTACACTTTTGCTGGGCTTTTCTTCTGGTCTAGGGCTTCTCATTACCTCAATATCCTTGGAAGGAAAGTCCTGAGAAAAATTTCTCCGAATTGTAATTTTATTGGTGACGTTAATTATGTTTTTTAAGTAAATCTCTTCTCTTACCATTTTTTCTTCCTTTGAGAACATGAAAGAAAAGCAATTAAATTCAACATAAAGATTGTCTTCTCAAAATTATTAGTCTTGCAAGAACTGAAGGGCATGTTCTACTGAAACCATATATAATGAAAATCCTTTAAATTAATGAACGTGTAATGATTTCAGGAAACATTTTCTAAGCCAAATAGTTTTCAACTATCAATATTGAAGATATCCACGAAAAGGAAAGCTCTGACTATGATTTATACCAAACTATAATAAATAACAATATAACACTTTCTACTCATATCATGTGAAATAAACAGGAAGAAGGCCAATACAGGAACTGATTACCCAAGTTTCCTGTGAAAGCAAATCATTTTGTCAACAGGAAAGGGATGCATCAGCAAGAAAAGAAGGAAAACTATCAAATCAAGAACCAATGTCATGGACAATTCCATTCAGCTTTTTTTCTAAAACTTCCGAGCAAATCTGGCCAATCATGTGGTAGAAAGACAACAAATCGATAACTACTCCACAACGTTTTCCCGATTACACATCTTTCAAATTTTCCCTCTTTTCGTTCATCTTCAGTCTTTCAATGTTTGCAGGCCCAAAACTGTGTTTTGAATGGATAAATAACATTATAATTAATAACGTAAGATCAGAAACATGAAAAAGCATTTTAAACGCACTGTGCCATGTGAATGTTAAGGATGACACACTCAGATAAAAGAATAATCATAGCAAACAGAACAAAAACAAAAAATCATACACAGACAAAAATTTTTTTTTTACATGATTCGGCTATACCTACATCCTCAGACAAGAGGAGAAAATTTCAGTATATTAGAGCAATACAAGTTTGGAGAATTTTCAGCCATAATCACAATTAAACTTAATTCTCAAATGTCCTATCTATGAATACATCAAATATATCGCATCGTCCTGATGCATACGGAACCGGATCCCCACAAAAGGTCCATATCCTGATGCATCAAATGATAATGCATGCACAGAAGGAAGTATGGAACATTAATTAACCTGAAGAAATTGTGGTCCAGCTTATTCTGATTCTCTTGATGGATTCAATATTCCTTCGCCGTATGTATATTTTTGCAAGTGAGAAAATTCTATTTCCTTTTCTTCTTCCATATTGCTTGATCTTTTTTTTTTAAATGCTTTGGTACAGATGCAGTACTGTTAAGCTTCTGATGGGCAATCGCATCCATAAAAAATCCCTGCATAATAGTTCTATGTTAGTCCACAAACATATCGACCATACATTAACTCATCAAAACAACACCAACAAAGAAAAGATAGTGAAAGTGAAACTCACTGATTGTAAAACACCTGAAATTTCTACTCACGGATTTTAAGCAAAAAGGGTAGGGAAATCTCAACAGCTAGTAGGAATGGGGTGCTACAGTTGAAGAACTGCTTGCCCAAAATTGATCACTCATAGAGTCCGGTGAAAGTTGAAGTGGGGGAGGAGCGTGCTTCAATAGCCCAACATCATCCTTACTAATATCCAATACTTCTACTTTTTCAGCTCCGTAATTTTCTTTCTCAATTCTTCTCAATACCTCCAATGCTTCTTCCATAGCAGGCCTCATTTCCCTCTGTTGTTGCAAACACCGGAAAGCTAATTCTGCAACTGATGTTACCATCTTCCTCACCACGAAATCCTTATCGAATTCAAGAAATGGATCGACCAACTCATATAAAGCATCATTTTGGATTTTTTTCACTGCCATGTTGGACAAATTAATATCATGTCGATGCCTGTTGGTGTCCACTGCTTCTAGAGCTGATATCAGCTCAATCAAGACCACACCAAAGCTGTAAACATCACTCTTGTCCGTGAGTTGGTAGCATTGATAATACTCCGGATCGACATATCCAGGTGTTCCTTGTGGAGCAGTCGATACATGGGTAGCCTCAGTTGGGAACAATCGCGACAAACCAAAATCAGCCACTTTCACATGGAAGTCGCTGTCTAGCAGAATGTTATTGGTTTTGACATCGCGATGTATGACATCCGATGCATGGAGGTAAGCCAGTGCACTGGCTGTCTCTATGGCAATGCTTAGACGAATGGGCCAAGTGAGCAAACCTGAGCTTGATTGTCTTCCATGAAGATGATCAGCAACAGTTCCATTAGGAATGTATTCATAAACAAGTAGAAGCTCTCGGCTATGCCTTGAGGTGCATCCATGAAGTGTCACCAGGTTCGGGTGACGTAAATGAGCTAGGATCTCAATTTCGTTCATAAATTGCTCAGTACGTTTCATGTTGTTCTCATATAGGCGCTTGATGGCAACCACACGCCCATCCCTGAGTACTCCTGGTCATTTCAGCAATTACAATAGAGCTTTAGAAAGGAGTCAAAGAAGCAGTTAATGCATGCAAGTTCCTAAACTGCAAAATAAAATCATTTCATCTTCTAACCATAGTAAACAGTTCCAAACCCTCCATCTCCGAGTTCTTTAGAGGGATCAAAAAAGTTAGTGGCTTCCTCAAGTTCTTTGTAGCTGAAAACCCGAACTCCAAAGTAGGTACTACCCCTATCAATGTCAGACTTTGAGGAGGTAAGAGAAGGGGTGCTTCGAGAGAGATTAGTCGAAGTAGCAAGGCCTTTGCTTGAAGCAGGAGTAGCTATAGGAAGGTCTTTGCTTTTCAGTAGGGCAGCTTTTCTTCTCTTTCGTTGTATAATGGCCATGAGCCAGCATCCCACAAAGAGACCAACAACACAACCTGCTGTGCTAAGCCCTGAAAAAAAAAAAAAAAAACTGCTCAGCTTTTCTTTTTGGTATTGATTTTATAATGTGTATGTAGAAGAGTTATACCTATTTTAAGTGGATCTGGCTTAGACGACTCTGCAAAAAAAAAAATCATGAACGCAAGAAAGGTCAGATGAAACATGAATGATTACATTGAAACAAATTTTCAGTAGGTAGTAGGATGATTAATCGGACTAACTTCTAACATACGATGGTGGCTATCTCAATAATTATTTGTTGGATACAAACTAATTCATGAATTCTTTCAGACTATAGAAATACAAGCTATGGCCTAAAACAAACTGGAACATTAAAGGAACCAGTTCCTCTGTTTAGAAAATGGCAAAAAGGCATTGCAAAAAGCAGAGGAAACAGGGGAAACAAATTATGAGTAATTGCATTGTTCAATTTTTCCTATCACTTAACTGCTAAAGAAATAAGCATTAACAGCTGGAAAAAATAATAATCCCAGAGCTTAACTGAGATTTAGTTAACATCTCAGGAACAAGATGTGGAATATTTTTGTGCGTACAAACTATCACCCCATTGAGCTCCAAGGGGCAGAGTGGACACAAGACTGAAGAAAAGAAGCCTAATTTTGAACATTGAACCTCTTAATAAATAACCTTGAGTGCTAATTGATTCTTTGTAAACACTAAATGAAAACTAATGGATTTGTGAGCCTTTGAAAGTAATTCAAGCATCGATTCTTGAAATTATTGAAGCATTTACTTGGAAATTATCAAACTCATAAATTATCAAAGAAGAAAATATGGCAGGGCAGAACCTGACCAGAGTGCCAGACTCAAATATTCTGTAGAACTTACAAATAACTGAAAGATAATTAAGTTCCTCGACTACTTATAAGAGTAGGATAGCTAGTTGCAGTTCAGAAAAAAGAAACTTGGATTAGTCGAATGAGGAACTTAGGCTAGTTAAAAGAGGAACCTGGACTAATTGCAGTTCACTAATCAAGGAACCTAGACTAGTGGGAATGAAGAGTATATTGCAATTCTTCATTAACAGAAATAGTCTTTGAAGGATGATTCTCAGAAAATACTAAGTTGGAAATACTTTAATGATTTCTCCTCGTGGTAAACAGCTACCTAAATTTCCATGTTATCAAGTCTCTGTCTCCTTGGTAGACTGAATTTAATTGGTCAAGGAAGGTGTTCTCTTCAGGATCATTGAACTATGAATAATTCCTAATAGCTAGCTAGGTTCCTTCCCCTACTCAAAGGAACGATTCGCACCTGTTTCTATTACCAAAGATCATCCTACATCACCTAGCCTGGAGAACATATCTTACTTCTAAATTATATCTACTTTGCCATCAAGAAAAGAAACTGGAAAGAGGACATACTTGTTGATTGACTAGGTGGTGATGCTGCGCAATTAAAATCTCGAGGTTGATCAGCACAATAACAAGTGAATGCTTTTGTAGTCTGGTTGTACCCACACTGCCCACCAGAAAGTTTGCATGTTTCACATAAGTCATCATTTGCATTCCACTCTAACCCAAAACCTTGATTAAGAACTCCAAGCAACTGTTCTACGGTAGTAATGTCTATATTCGGCAGAATAGCTGATTGACGTATTGGAACTTTAACGCTATTATTGCATGTTGTCAGGTAGCTGATTAAGCCAGGAGCAATTGAAACAAGTTCAGAGAGGTTGGCTGTTATAAAGTAGCCCATCATATCAGTCTCGTTAATGGTGCAAGTAAACCGAGCGGAAAGCCCTTGCGGACTTGGAGCAGGGCAACCATAGTACAGTGTTACCTCACCATGATCTGAAGTATATTCCAAGGGGTTTTGCTCCAAAGAGGTGTTGGACAGGAGAGTTGGACAGAGATTTTCTGTGTAATCTGTTCTAGAAACATTGAGAGTCCGCGACTGATTATCGATACCAAGGACTTTGTAAGTCGATTGCATGATTGTGATCTCCGGATCTTGGTTAATGCAATTGAGCTCCAACCCTGGATAGCCACAGTAATCTTGCCTATTGGATCCCCAGAAAGGATAAGGAATATCCTTAATATTTCCGCAATCAAACGTTTTGCTGCAGTTTAGATATCGCTCATCATCGTCAGCAAACACAGGTGTTGAACCACTGACAGAGATTATTATGGCTATGAATAGGATAAACCGAGACATGGCTGGAAGGAGATGCGGTCGCATTTTCGGATAGACAGAAAAAGCTGTTCTTCAAGTATTGGGTTAAATGGAAAGACAAATAGATGGAGGTTATTTCACTCAACCATCATAATAGGATTGGCAGTACGTATTTGACCAGAGCAGGGGGTTCAAATTTGTCGAAGAGAAGCTTCCATTAGAATGACAAGAGTGGCATCAATGGAAATTTAGGTGGCCCAGCAAACAGACAGGTCATTTTGTAAGCAGGATAAAATAATTTTTAATGTTTCTTAGGAATCCTGATAGTCAAATTCTGTGGCCTTGTTGATTTTTCTAAGTTTCAGGTATTATATACCTTTGTACTATCTGTTCTACGGCCTATACGGCAATATTGGTATATAAATACCAAAAAGATTTTTATTTTTGTTTACAAGGTTTTATTAAACCTTTAAACGCTTGCTGGGCTTTTTGGTTTGGGAGTTCACTGCACTACAGCATCTTATTCATCTTAGTAATAGGTCAGTTCTTTTTTTCCTTTCCTATGGTGGACATTTTCTATTCCAACACTCCACTCCAATCACAAACCGTCATTCTTTTCTAAAATTGTTCAGTGGATATATAGTAACTTATCCCTCCAATTCACTGGCTCATACCATTGCATGTGATTGATCTCTCTATCCATACAACTATGCTTGTTTTTTTTCCTTGGCTCCAACTCTCTCTCTCTCTCTCTGTCTTTCTCTTCTTCTTACTTCATGTGTTTGGTTCTTTTATACCACACCATCTCATGTGTAAAGACCCATCTTCACTTTGTGGTACTACACCATCTCATTTTGTGGGCTTGTCGACTTGCACTTACACCCCTTCTTGAGCTTTTCTTTCTTTCTCCATCTCTTGATGCAAGGTCAACTTGCACTCATCCTTACTTGGACTTCTTCTTTCTTTCTCCATATTCAAAGTCTCAATTTTTTTTTTTTTTTTTTTTTGTTGGGCTCCATCAATTTTTTTATCTCCATGATCTCTCTTTGACTTCGCTATCAATTGTTGGGTTTGAAACCTAATTCAGACCTTTTACTTAAGAAGCCAACACAATTAATTCATTTTAGTATTTAGTCACTTCCCATGAAAATGAGTAACCACTTCAGTATTACGACATTCTACTTATATCTTACTTTCATCTCTTCTTTCTTCGCCAACATATTTTTTTGGCTAAATAATTAGCTTGTGTGTCCAAAAAAGCAACTAAAGTGGAGGCATTAAAGAGAAACACAATGGGTTACTAAAACATGAAAAACTCCGTCAAATCAACACAACATAGATTTGCAATTTTCTGCAAAATCAGCTAGAAATAGAAAAAGTTTTCTTCCTTTTTTTCTCTCACTTTTTTGTTCTTTTTTACAATTTCATAACATTCAGCCCTATTTATACTAACAAAATCATCACATCTTAGCCTTACACTTGTTCATTTTGATCACCACTTAAGCTAACTCTAATTACATTAACTTAACACTAAAGTTAAACTAACTAAATTTTTAAAGTAAATAGCAGTCAATAGTAACTTTAACAAGTTACAGCAAATTAACCTTAACTCTAGCTACCTTAACTTAAGAGAAATGAAACTAACTAACTAAAAATAAATAGTCATCAGTCATAACTTTTACTAATTATAGCAAATTAACCTTAACACCAATAAATAAAAAGATATATTTTCCTGCAAGCTGATTTGTGGAGGCTAATGGGTCCGTCCTGACAAGCATTAGCATAATGAACAGTATAGGTGACAAATCAAGGAATAAAAGTAAGGGATGCACATAGCAATAAAGATCTTGTGATGTTATGATATTCTTGGTTCAGGTTTCTAGAGTAAATGTTGTCAATGGTTTAGAAGGACCGTCATGGATGCCACCTAGGGCCAAATCAGATGAAAACAAGATGTGAGAATTTGGGTTCGGATTTTAAGTTTAGTTTTTAGATTATATCTAGGTACCGGGAAAAAGACCATACTTTATCAGAAAGACCATTAAGGCATCAAGTCTGCGATATGGACTAATTTTCTAGATCAGCTTGTAAATTACCTTGTGTTACCCTACCATCTTTTCCCCATACTTTTAAGTTGATTTGATTTACATATCCCAACTGAATTTGCTTAAAATTATTACTTTAGAGTGCAGGTACTTTGTCGGACCAGCCATCCATTCTGATCCAGAAATTTTGCACAGGTTCATAAGGCAACAATCGCATGCATATTAAAATTTGTAAAAGTAACGAAATCACTTATAATTTTGTATTCCTTTGCTTTGATTATGATTAATTAGAATGCAAAACATTTTTCTCGTTACCTGATTAAAGAAAAGCAATTTCAGGTTGATTTCAAGTTTCATCAACTGTCATGGACTAAAATACTAACCAATCTTTAAGTGATCCACATAATTTACTACAGCAGAAGCCAATGCATCTCAGAAACACATTCCTAGAAATAATCTTCATATTTGTTCTGCTACGTCTAAACAGCTCAGCTATACAGAAATGGAATCTGATGAACCAGAATCTATGCAATAACAACAGAGGAAAGGTGCAGCTGCCCTTAATTTGTTTCCATAGTTCATATCTAACCACATGAACAATGTTTACACAAAAGCAAGAAATCTTTAACGAAGACAATTTCATTTCGTTATGTGAACATTTGGTGAGAAGGTCACGGATATGATGAGCTTTCTTGGATTTTTTCGGCTTTTTCTTGTCAAGAATTAGTACAATGCTGAGCTATGATCAGTTATTAAACAAAAATCATACAATTTTCCTACAGAACATGCTATCGAAACTTCCTATGACTAGCTGATGTCATAGTGCCACCACTGGCCTTAATTTAATTATGGTTTTGAAATTGTGGTGTAACCATTACGTAACTGGAAAGCTATTTATTACCATGGTCTAGTTCTGCAGTTTGAGCTTCCCTAGCTAGTGGACTGTACAAGTTGTAAAAAAATAAAAAAGATGATCATATCAATGTTTACTTCTGTACAAGTATGATTATATATATATAATTATACTTGTATAGTCCACTAGCTAGGATATATATATATATATATATACTAAAATTAAGCAGAGTTTTACTATTTTTGAACTCATTTTAAGTGGACAAAACAACATCCTTTTATGTTATTTTTAGTTTGAAATGAAATGGTTTTACCAAATAAAATAAGTGTTTTTTTTTCCTTTCAAATTTTGTAACCTTTTGTACTCTTTGGTTCTTCAGATTCTAATTTTATAGAAAAGGGTTCTTAATCTTAATTTTTATTTGTTCTTGTATTATTTCGGCTTGGTTGTCTCTGGCCCATACAGAAGGGCCTTGTACGTGCCCCAGCCTAGTTTTTTTTTTTTTTCCTTCTTCTTTCATGTTTTTATTTTTCATTATTTATTATTTTCTCAAAAATTAATGATTATTTTTTTTATATAGATTTATTAACTAAGTTTAAACACTCTTCTAATAAAAATTAATTTTGCACCCTCTTCCAATTTGATTTAAAAAAATAATTAATTAATTGCATGTTTTTTCTTAATGATCAAAATCATAAGTATTACTAGGATATATTTAAATTCAATTATGAATTATAAAAATTTTATTAAATAGTGTTTAATACATGCTAAATTAAATTAAGTTCCACAATTAATGTTTATTAATTTTTATTTTACACCTGGATTTTTTTAATTATTTAAGATATTGAAACATATTATATAGATTTATCCTTGTACTATGCTAGTTAAAAAACAAAATTAAAATGAACAAAACAGGAAAAGAACAAAGGTGCGAACTGTGAAGCATTCAGCAGTGACTTGAGTTCATCAAACTGATCTGAGCCAGAGTTGAGGTACATACCTGAAGAAGCAGTAGCAGTTGGTGGAAGACATGTATTTGATCCACTAGATTGATTTGGGCAGTAACAAGTGGTTTGATTAGAAGTAATGTCATAGCCACAAACTCCTCCAGACCATAAGCACTCTCTACATGCTCTGCTATTTACCTTCCATCTTACCTCAAAACCATTTTTCAATTCTTCTTCCAAAGCTGGCACTTTCAGAATTAATGGCAAAGCTATTATGGGAGCCGGAACAAAGACACTGCCGTAACAAGCCCCAGGAGCCTTAGTTCCTGGTAGAACAAAACCACTTTGATAATTAAACCCATTTATTCTGCAAGTGAATAATGCAGGGCCAGATACAGGAACAGACAGACAACCGTAAAAAAAGTAAAATTCGTGTAACCAGTTACAGTCTCAAAAACCATCGGATCAAACGTGCTGTTCACAAATTGAGGCGGACACAATCCAACCAAGTAATCCTCTCTTGCAATCCTGAGAATTTGCCTATCTGTATTGATGTCCAAAACTCTGTATCTAACCTCATTGATAATCATCTTGGTGACATCATTCTCACACTGGAGCTCCAATTCATGAATCCCACAGGCAGAAGGTCGGCCAGTTCCCCAAAAAGGAAAATCCGCAGAAATATCCCCACATAAAAACTTATTACTACAGTCAGAGAACAGGTCATTGTTGCTTAGAGATGAAGGAATTCGAATGAAGAGCAAGAATCCAATAACAAAGAATGAAAGAAAAGGAGATAACGAAAGAACTGAGGATTTCATTATGGCAAGAAGAAGTAGTATAGGAGGAATGGAATTGTGTTTTAGTAAAGTGAGCTTGGTTGTTTCAGGGAAAAGTTCAGAGGATAAAGAATCGAGTTACTAGCTCTCTGATAAGTATCAATTTTAGGAAAATAAATACATCAAAAAAGGATAGATATAGATGCATTACTAACCATATTGAATGCTTAGTTGGCTTAAAACTTGTTTTCTAACTGCAAAGAGGTGACCACATTAATTTCTTTCCACTAAGCTTCCATTTGCAGTTGCAAAGTGAAGGCTATCTCCTATACGTCAGTCTCCTCTACATACAGAACAGAACAGGATTAGTCAAAATAGATTATAAGGACAAGCAAAAAATTCTAGCATGGTTGGAAAATCATTTGGCATGATGATAATAACATGAAATCGAATCTTGCTCATATCTAATACTATATATAAAAAAAAAAAAATGAGAAAGAGATTCTGACGAGGATAGGGTTGATCACTTGTCTAAACCAAGGACCAAAGGAGAAAAAAAGAATTGAAATGTTGCCTGCAGCTACTCTTGCAACGTTTGTCTTCAATTCAGCCTACTTCTGTAATAATCAAAAGATTGAAATCAAGTATGTTAATGTATGATTTTAGCTATACTTGATCCAATATATATCCGAACCAGACCCAACCCAAATTCATAAATATATACGTTTAACATTGAGTATTATGAAATTATAGTTTGGTCCTTATTCTTTGAAAAGCTACAGCTTTATCCCGAAGTTATATTGTTCCTCTGTCTTTTTTTGTGTCAAAAAAAGTGGCCAGAGATAATGGTGACCGACTGAGCACCTGATATCCAACGGTTTAGGTATGGTTACCGAAAATTGATACTCATATTAATGTTTCGAGTTTGTCAAGGCTGCATGTATAAAGAAGAGCAGCTTCTACGGTCTACCAAAACCATATGGACATTATCACACCATGCATAGAAATAAGTCATGGATGGTCCCTATCCTCAATAATAATATTATTTTGATTTGGTTGCATGGGAAACATGTATTGACTAATTAGCTATTAATAGATCGTAGAAACGCCCAACTAACAACTGCAACAAATAATGCAGACGAGTTTGAGAATAAGCTTGTAATATAGAATTATATCTTTTGCTATGATATCCCACAAGCATGCTACAACTTGTAGGGATACAACATCAACTTGAACTGCTATGACAAATAAAATGCTTATCGAGTATGGACAGGATGGTATACAGAGAAATAAATGTGGAGAAAGTAATACAAGTTTGAGACCGACTTCGTGACGTTGGGTTTTCCGGATGAAACTTCTTATTTGACTTGGAACTTTGAAAGGTAATGTTAAGAAAAAGAAAAGGAAAGAAGAAAGCCTAGAAAGAAGGAAGAATTTTGAAAGATAATTCATTTGATCTCAGCCCTTTAGGTCGTACGCAGTACGCGGGTGGTGTAGATCTATATGTGCTAATGGGAAATGGTATATTTTAATCAAACAGTAGATCATAGGATAAACTGCTTTGCTTTTTATTAAAAGTTTAGATATCCTGCTTTTTTTTTTTTTTAAATAGTTGTATGTTAAGGTATTATAGAGTTTATTTTAATCAAACACTGCATTTAGATTAAAAAAAAAAAAAAAACAATAATGCTTTAAAAAATGTGTTATTAGAGCGTCTACTTCCTGATTAATTAATTAATGGTTCTCAGATAATTCGCACAGAAGGGTCATTAATTATGGATTCCAATGTCTTCCTTGATGGGAGTCCAGGTTCAAAATTTGAACTTCAAATCAAAGTGCTTATTTTCGAATGAGGACCGTTGACAGATTGAGACATACATGCTCATGGCGTATGTGTCCATTTGGCCTCATATTTCTCATAATGAAGTCAATTGGATGCAAGAAGTCAACAACTTGGTCTAATTTTCCTAAGTGGGGATTAAAAGAAGTTTTGATCGACTTATTGACAGCAGTATACTTCGTAATTGATTTGTGAATTTTCTTGTGCCCTTAGCAAAAGTCATTAACTTTAATATTTTAGTTGTTGTCTACTTTATAGATTTTCATTTCGTGTTACATGTATATTAAGATAATTACTCTCTCTCTTCCTCTTTCTCCTCTTAGCAAAAGTCATTAGCTTTAATGTTTTAATTCTTGTCTACTTTATGGATTTTCATTTCGTGTTACATGTATATTGAGATAATTCTTTCCTCTCTCTCCAAAACTCATTAGTTTTAATGTTTTAGTTGTTGTCTACTTTATGATATATATATATATATAATAATTAATGTTTATAAACTATTTATATGTCTAAAATTCCTATTCACTTATTGTTTATATGCATAAAATGGTTTTTTTGGACAAGTGATTACTATTTATAAATTGTTCATATGCCTAAAATTCATATTTACTTACTCGTTGAAATGCATAAAATTACTATTCACTTGATGGTAATTTAAGTAATTTTTGTGTGTGGATTTTTTTTTTTAGATATTAATATGCAAATTTAACACTTTTTTCTATTTTCGTCTCTTATGTTATAACATTTTTTTTTTCAATCCTTAACTTTCATTTTTTTTTTTCATTTTCATGTGTGTGTGTGTGTGTGTGTATTAAAATTAACATATACTTTAGCTTATATTACTCTTATTATTTAAATTTTATTTTTTGAATTTATCATTTTTTATGAAAATTCTCATCCAATTAATATTTTTTCTATAAAATTTTATTTACAAATAAATATAATTTATTTTCTCTATGTTTGAATTTTAGAATAAAATTTTAAAACATGATTTTGTTTAATAATAAATTGGTATAATACATATCATAAATTCTTATAATTTTTAAAAGATAGTTATATATATATATATTCTAAAAAGTTAAAAGTGTATTTCAAATAATTTGTCTCAATTCACTAGGTATGGTCAAGATGTATTAAAAAATATTGAATCATTATATTTATTAAAAATTAACTATATATCTTCCAACATAATACAAATTATTTACTATGAATATTTTTTTAACATTATAGAACCAATTTATTTGAAATAAAATAATTCAAATAAATTTTTAAAAGAACCAACCACTCATTCAAATACATTTTTTATTCTAATATTATTGATTATTTTGTAAATAAATGTGTATAAATCAAAATCATATACTTTTAAAAAAAATATTCTCACCAACATTAAATAAGAATAAATTTTATTTTTTCATTAGTTAATTTTTATGCAAGTTTATATATTAATTGTAACTTTATTTTTTAGATACATTCTTATCAAAAAATTTATTTTTCAAGTATTTTTTTTAATTCTTAATTAATATTTCAGGTTTAAATTATTATAAGTTTTTATTTAAGAATTCATGAATAAAGAAGAATAAATCATTTTTTTTAAATAGAAATTTTATGAAAAACACAAAAAAAAATAATTAAATAAAAAATTATAAAATTTTGAAATGATTTTGTTCTATCTACTAGCAAGCATTGCACGAATAATTTAAAAAATTAATCTTATCATCAGTATTAAATAAGAAAAAAATTCAGTTGTTAATTTTCATAAAAGTCTATCCATTAATTATAACTTTATTTTTTGGAATACAACATTATGAAAAATATATTTTGAAAGGTTTTTTTAATTCTTGATTAATATTTCAGTTAAAATTATTACAATTTTTTATTTTAAAATCAATCCATAAAGAAGAATGAATTATGTTTTTTTAAGCATAAATTTATGAAAAAATTAGAAAAATTAATTAAATAAAAAATTTTAAAATGATTTTATTCTATTGGATCAGCAACATAGCGCTGGACAATCGGTTAATATATATATATATATGTGAGATAGTAGAGTTCATTTATATATTTTTTTATTCGAGAGTAAATTTTTTTGAATCAGTTTGCATATTAATCAAGATCAAGTTTCTTTCTCAAATAATTTTTAAGGTGCACCCTCCACATTGACCCAATGCATTCAAAAAAATTTAATACATTCCATTATACTAACTCTAAGATTTAAACCTAAAATAAAAAATAAAGCATGCCTCCTCAACTATAAATTCAATCTCTTAAGATTAACTAGTTCATTAAGATAAAGACACTTTAAAAGAGCACATACAAAAAATAGGATACAATCCTTTTACTATATCTAAAAAAAAAAAAAAAGAATGTAAATCATGTGTAATTTAACGGTTGTGTACCTAATAGTTAGATTTAGTGAAACAAATGCAAGTCTTAATGACTTAAGTTTATTTAGATACAATAATGTAACAGAAGAGAGTTATTTTTATTTTTATTATATAGCTCGTGGTCCAATAAGCCTCCCAATAAAAAATAATAATAATAATAAAGAAGAAGAAGTAATCAAATTTGAAAAAAATGGGAAAGCTAATGAGAGAGAGAAAAGTCTAGAAAAATTATTATACAAACTGAACTTTTAGGGACGAAAACCGTACAGTTCGATTGGTCAAATAGACCAGGTTCATGTAATAACTTTGCGTTAATTTTATTTTATCCCTTGAAGTATATGGGCTTTATCTATTTATTTATTAATTTTTTTTTTAATATCAATCACTGCTAATGTTTTATCATTTATCAATAAAGTCCTTTTGTCCTTTTGTCTATCTACGTTTGAAACTAATAGAATATGCTTTTATACTTTGTAAACTTCAATCCCCCCACCAAAACTATAACTAATTTTTCAATTGAATCTCAAAAGAAAACATTTTTACATTATTCATTTTAAGATACATATAAAATTTGATTTGAAAGCAAATTCACTTTAAACAAGAGCACATAAAATAAAATAAATATGAAATTTAATCATAAAAGAAAAAATACAAAGCCAAATTCATTAAAATATTTTAATAATATTTTGATCAATAAAAAAATAAAAAATAAAAATTCAAATGAACTTTAAAGTAGATTAATAAAAAACAATTATACATATAATTTATTGAATTTTATAATAGAAAAAAAATTGGATGTGTTTTTTTTTTTTTTTTTG